TCGCAGTGCTGGAACTGTGAAGTTTTGGCAGTTTTTTACACACGGCGAGAATAATATCATGCAAGTTCCCAGTGGGTAGGACTTAGACTCACATCACATTTTGTCCAGAAGTGCCGGCAGCAAAACAGCTTTGTACGGTAATAAAATTGCGCAGCTCGGTAGGGAGGTAAAAAATAAGATAACAAAGCAAATGAGAAGAACGGAAGTGACCTTCACCGTCCTAAGCATCCTTCATTCTTCTCTCTAGGATAAGTTTTCATCGAAAAGGCAAAAAGCCCATAAAAAATTTCATGACAATTTCAAGTTATGTTTATAAATGCATGTTGCTATCGGAGAGTTTTGTCTCACGAACAATAATCTGAAGTATCATCAGTTGTTCTCGATGTAATTGGAAAATATGGCATCTGGGAGCTCAGCGCAGTCAGTTTGAATATTAATAGTAGCTTTATTTATCCATCGAAAAAAAAAAATGTAACTTTTTTGCCCTTCAGTATTACTCTTATTTACGTCCCTAACTGGATCCGTGATGGTAATAAAAGTTGCAACGTTCATATAGACTTACATTGCCAAATCTACATAGAGTTGTGGAAGATGAATTCAACGAAGGTAAACCAGAGAAAATCTGTATGACGGAAGTAAGCTAGAGGAAAATATAACAGGATGTGACCGGTGGAATGAGGCATATACAATGCACTACTACACAATTAGCAGGATAGGAGTACGTACGGATGAAGGGTGGATTGAGTGGCATTAATGTCCGAAAACTTCAGTTGCTGATCAAAATCATTATTTTGATGCATGCTGCAGTCAAAAGAGGTGGAAGGTAGATTTTCCCAAAAAGTGTTTTTAATTTTATGTGCATTTCATCAATCAATCTATTTCGAACGTATCGTTCAACAGTGATAATGTAAAAGCTTGTAATACTGTCACACTAAAAACTCAAAATTCTCTAGTTTATTGCTTACGGAGCGGGAGGTAATGTTTTGATCCCATGTCAAATTATGAAGCGATCAGAAGTACTGTCCCTCACGCTGTCAGTTAGAAATTACAGTTACTCACTCAGATATTTCTGAATAACAAAAGCACATACTATTTTACCATTGGTTAATATAAAACAGCATTGCATGACACGAAATATTCCAAACCTTTTCGGCCTGCAAACGAGCTTTCGCTTCAGCATCCATCTCCAGTGGTACCAGCAAACCGTCATCGTCATCCATGTAACCGTAATAATCAGCGTCAACAAATTTGATCAGCTCGGTACGATTCTTTCGTGGTTCAACAATTTCGGCTTTCTCGAAAAGCTCCCGAACTCCAGGCAAATCTTTCGCTGCTCCAAAATATTTGTAACCTTTGTTTCCGGCTACTTCACGCCCTTCTCGATCCAGTTCTTTGGGACCAATTCTTCTGAAAGTACAAAACAGTCTATTTCAGTACTACTGATGCTCATGTCCGTATTGTGACAAGTGCAGATTTCAAATCCGTCGTGGGCTGTCAAAATCAACTAAGATTCGGTCCGAAGCCTACCAAAACCAGCCTGCTGCCATAACTGATTAAAGACCTATGAAATTCTCAATGAAAATTCCCAAACCAATAAAAACGTTAAGAACTATTATTTTTTTTTGGACATTAGCGAGATACTTTATCCCCACCGTATCTAGCCCGACTTTCTCTTTTTTTTTGGTTCAGTTGTGTGACGTTGCTCATAATCTGTGGGAAGGAAAAGCGGAAAAAATTAATAAAGTCAAAGGGAATCCGGAAAAGATTAGTCCAGAAAAACAACGAACTCTTCATTTACTTCAGTTAACTATTTTAAATAAAAATATTTTTAACAAACAGTGGGATTATCAGGTATGCTTTGGCCATTATTTACGTCTCAAAACTTACTGAATATTTCATTTACTTCTTCGAAATAAAAGCTAACGTTTTGTTGCATAATAAACAGACACTCCAAAAAATTGTCCGAAACCCTTTGTTTTGAAGAAACGCAAAAATTGCTAGGAAAGCTGGTAGTGCAGGACGGTTGGGAAAAGGAAATTTCATACCGTTTAGAAGCTGAAGAAGAAAACAAAGCTTTAGTGAACATCGCAACTGTTTCACTAGTCATCTCGATTAAAGCCGGCTATTTTAATC